GGTGGCCTCCCTCCCGCTCTCTTTCAGCACATCCTGCCCAGGGGCACTCGCCTTTGTCCTCACTTTTCCACCTGGACGCCCTTCCTACTTTCTTCCTCCTCCCTTTTGCTTTGTCTCACTCAAAGGCCTTCACAGGAGACCTTTCTGGGGGACCCTGGGCTCCTCCAGCAACCAGCCAAAGGCAAACCTGGATCACCTCACCTCCCCCTGGAATGCCTCCTTTGGAGTTTCCTTCCAGGGTCTTCGGTCAAAGTGCAAATATCCTGGCTCAGAAGTGAGACCTGAGCCTTCCTCATCTCAAAGATGACTTTTGCCTTAGATTAGGATTCCCAGATTTAGTGTGTGTGTGGCAGGAAGGACACCCAGTTAAACTTGAATTTCAGATAAACAACAAATAACTTGTTAGTGTAAGTATGTCCCAAAGATTGCATGGAACATACCCTGGGCTCCCTGTATCCTATCTGGCTGCCTAACTTAGAGCCTTTCCTTGAGCTCAACATGCCTCTAACTCTGCCAGGCACAGAAGCCCTGGAGAGGGCACGTCTGTGGAGCACCTCCAGAGTGTCTGTACATCATCTATACAGCAAGCCTCTACTTCTCTGTTGAGGAAACAGACTTCCAAAAGCCAAGGTTCCAACGTAGGCCCCTCTGTGTACTGTGTTTTTAAGTCATCTGCCCACAATCTTGGTAGCAGACAACTGATGGTCAGCACCAAAGTTTAAAATATATATACATGGCCTTGGCCGGTTTGGCTCAGTGGTTACAGGATCGGCCAGAGAAGGGTCTCAGGTTCGATTCCCAGTCAGGGGCACATACCTGGGTTGCAGGTTCAATCCCTGGCCCCGGTCGGGGACATTCAAAAGGGAGTCAATCAACATGTCTCTCTTGAAACGGTGTTTCTCTCTCCTCCCTCCCTTCCACTCTCTCTAAAAATCAATGGAAAAAGTGTCCTCCAGGGAGGATTAAGAAAAATTAAAATATATATACATGAGAGAAAACATTCATCTGGGGAAGCTGTCTCTATTAACTCAGCAATTTCTGGGACTTAGCAAAAGATTCTATCATTGGTTCCCTAGGGTGGAATGTCTGGCCCCACCTTGCAGGCCTCACAGGGGCATCTGTGACAGTAAGGACTGTATTCCGTGGTTTACTCAACTCTGTCCTGTTTATCCTATTACTTGAGTCTCACAAAGTCCTTTAGGGCAATAGTGACCCTGCTTCCTCAAAGCCTTCTGAGAAGCAAGGGACATACACGTTCCAAATAAATTCCAGGCCCAGGGATAAATATCCCAGTCCAGTGCAATTTCCACCATATTTAAAGCTTGTCAGTGTCCTGTCCCATCCCCTAAGGTCTTGCTCAGTAACAGGTGTATTGTCCGCCTCACATGTTCATTTGTGTGAGTGAACGCTAATGGTTTCATCTTGTCCATCTTAGGTGGAATATAAATATTTCCCAGGGCCTTCTGGAGTTAATTTTCACCCTTAAGATGAAAATCTCAGGTATTTTCATCATCATCTAGCTAGCACCACTGAAAACTGTATACCAGCCTATGGCAAGAGCTTTCCTAAGGCTCGCCTCACTCACTTCTCTCAGCCACTTAGTGGGGAAAGAAGGAAAAGCTTATCCCCATTTTATAGATGAGAAAACTGAGACTCAAGTGATAAAATGAGTTGCTGAAATCCATTAAGCTTATTAACGACTGAGCTGGAATTTGAACCCATGCCCTCCTGGTTCCCAAGGCCATGATCTTGACCTTCTGCTATGTTGCCATAGGAGAGGGTATTTGAGAGCTAGGATGAGCCATCTTCATCCCCATTGAGCAGTGACATGCCCTGTGGTCCAGCAGAGTAAGGAAAGATCAGGCACAATAATTCCCCACGTGCACCCTCCTTTACAGCAGCCAACTCTTCACAGACGTCATCGGTTCATTTATCCACAGAATAGCCACATGACGCTGGTGCTGTCGTCTTCATTTTGCCAGTGATAAAACTGAGGCTCAGAAAATAGGTGTGATCTGCCTGAGACCACACAGCTGATGAAAGGCAAGGCCATACCTCCAACCCAAGTCTTCTGCCTGCACGCCCCAGGTTCTGCTCAGCCTCCCTGCAATCCAGGCCAGGTGGGCGGGGTGGCCACGCATGGAAGTGGGTGTAGCGCCAGGGACCCGCCTGCCTGTCGTGCACAATGGGGGAAATTCCAGAAGTTCTTTGGGATAGTTCAGGTGTGGTCAACTCAACTGCCCACTTCAGGGCCCCTGGGGGACCCTCCTCCTAACACAGGCTTTTCCTCTTCCTCCCCCTGCCACCCCCAACAACAACCAGAAACAGGGTCCCCTCCCTTCCTGAAAACCCTGCTCCCCTTGGCCGCCTGGCCTCAGGGCTTTTTTTCTACAAACAGCCACTTCTATCCATCTCTGTCTCCCGGGGCCTGCGGGGCCTTGACAGGGAAACGCTGACTTTGAGGAGGTTAAAGGTGCTGGTGCCCGGCCTTCATCTAACAAATGGGTTGCCAAGAGGGGAGGGACTGTTGTTGTTTTTTCCTGGCCTCAGAAGGGGGGCCTGTCAGGAAGACGTAGAGGCCAGCGGGCCTCCAGCTGTGCCCCGCAGGGTGGCTGACAGACACCAGCAGCTGCTGGGTGGGGGGGCTCTGGGGTGCCAGGGCCCTGCACAGAGCACCCCTGCAGGGCCCCCTCCCCGCTGCCCCTGCTGACCTCTCCGCCCACCCCACCGTGACCCAGGGCCCACCCCTTCCAGGGGCAAAGGGCCAGGCTGCTGGGCCTCCCAGGGCCAGATGAGGAGTCCAGAGCAGGAATCCAGTTACAGCCTGCCGGCCAGGCCCCAGGAAGGTTTTCCTAGGGAAGGTAACAGGCTAGATCTTCCTCCTGGCCTCCTATGGATTCTTTCTAGAGCCCCACAGCCTGGAGCCCCTCGAGGGACCTTACAAGGCTGTTTCTGTAGAATTTCCTCAGTGCTCCCCAATCCCACAGTCTCCTCTCGGGTCATCAAGTTAAAGAAAAAGCGATGGGCTAGGAAGAGAGCCACATTTATCTATCACCTACTTCGCAATTCACACAAACGATTGATTTAAAGCATTTCAAATGTCTGTGGGGTAACCATTCTGAAGCAGCAGGGCCAGGCTGCCTGGGTTTGAATTCTGGATCCTCCACTTCCCAGCTGTGTGACGTTGTGCAGGTTACAAAGTCTCTGTGTGCTTCAGAGTCCTCTTCTGAAACACGGGGTTGTTGAGAAAAGCCTCAGAGGGCTTTTGTGGGGATCCAACGCGGGACTATGTGTGAGGTACTAAGATCAGTGGATGAATGTCAGCTGTCACCAGTGGATGAGTGGACTGTCATCCCAGATGACGCAACGGAAGCTCAGAGAGGTAAGGCAACTTGTCCCAGGGCACACAGCCAGAAAGTGGCAGATCCAGGATTTGAACTCACACCTGTTTAAACTCAAAGTCCATGCATCAAGCTGCTCCACACACCTGAGGGCAACTCCTGGCTCTGCCATTTCCTAGCTATGTGACTCTGAGCAGCCCACGTTCTCTGTCTGAGCCTTAGTTTCCTTATTTGTAAAATGTGGAACATAATTCTTACCTTCCCATAATAGGAGAATGGTGAGGTTCAGAGGAAAAATGTGTACACAACAGCTAAGTCCTGGACAAAGCGAAGGAATGAGTCTGCTTTGTGCTATGACCCCATCTCCTCTGCTGGCCTGCAGCACCCTGGCTGCCCATTCCAGAAGACAAATGCCTCTTTCCTGCAGAGCTGTGTGTAGCCTCCAGGCTATAGAACTAAGTCCCCTCCTCCTTTGGAACCAGCCAGCAGAGACACTGCTGTTAGGTCCATACCCATTTCAGCCCGGGTCCTGCTGCTCTGGGCTGTGGAAATATTCAGTGGGAGAGGAGCCCTGGTTCCTTGGTCTTGGAATGCCATCCTCCGAGAAATTACATTAACCCTCCGCAGAGACCTGCAGGCCACGGTGATGAAGTAGACGGGTTGACGGGTTGAAATGGCAATTGGCCCTCCTGCAACTGGCACCGGCCAGGAAGACCATGTGACGGTTTGCCAAAGAGAACTCCTTTGGGAATGAGACTGCCCCCGGTTACTATTTCCATGCCCCAGAGTTCATGGAAGACTTGGCCTCTGGGGGTGGGGGTGGAGGTGGGGGGAAGCAGGTGGGTGAAGGTTAGGGGGCCAGGGAGCAGGTGCGGGGGGCCTGGATAAACTTCAAGGACCTCATCTAAGAGCCTTTTTTTCTGCCGTAGAGAAAAATGACTTCCAACCCCTCTAGAGAGGAGTGTGGCTAATTGGCATTAAGTTGGAGGCTACAGAGCGGAAGAAGAATCTGATTGTGTGTGTTTTTTAAGTTACTGAGAAAGTGAGAATGTCACTTTGGGCAGAGAGAAATAATTTTTTTTCTGGACTATATCTTTCTTTATACCACAGACCCTAGTGGGCCGCTGAGACTTGCCAAAAAAGATTCCTTTTAACCCACCCTCCTCTTTGCGAGCGGCGGTAGAAGGGCCTTTAAATCAAGTGCAATCAGCAAACTTGTCTCCTGCACTTACTCCCGGCTTCGCTCCCTGGGATTCGGCACTTGATGGATTCTGGATCTGACCTAAAGCTTTTTCCAAATCCAAGACTTGGGGAATTTTGTTAACAGTGTAATAAAATAACTTCATAGTGTTACAGGAGGCACATTAAAGAAGTTGTGTGTGTGAGCTGCTCTCTCTCCTTGAAAAAAAAAATACAGACAATGTTTCTTTAAAAGTCTCCATCTGCAAATCCCATTAGATGTGCATATAAGGTTTCTGATGATTAATAGTTGCCTGCTCCGGTTTTGGTTGGAGGGGATCGTGTGGGTGCGGGTTAACCCCTCCCTCTCCTCTCTCACATTTCACTTCAGAAATTTGTCACTCTCTCCCCACCGCAGCATTTAAAAGTTGTCTCAGCAGCCCTGGTCCAGCCCTCTGCAGGCATTTGCTGAGGGCTCCAGGGCGAGCACTCCATCAGCTGGTGCGTCTGGGCTGGGACAGTGAAAATGTTTAGTGTCATCGGCAACAAATACACGCACAGGGGACCCCAATAGGCAGGCTGGTGTGTCCGGGGGCAGGAAGCCAGGAGTGAAGTCGGATATAAGTGTGTGCGCGCACACAAGCACATGTGTGGACTTTAAAAAGAGACTTTAGTTTTGGTTTTTGTTTTGGTTCTTACGGTGAACTTTCTGTTGAACATTTTTTCCTTCTATTTAATTTTCTTTTTTTTTTTTTTTTTTTGCATTTTAAAAAATTTGAATATAAAAAGTGTAAGAATCAAACCTTTGAAAGACTGAGGCTTGCTGCGGACAGCAGATGGATCCCGTGGCCAGCAGCTGCATGAGGAGCCCCCACCCCCCGGCCCCTGTCTGGGGCTGCCTTCGAAATCCCCACTCGGAAGGCAGTGGGGCCTCAGGGCTACCCCACTACCCGCCAACCCCCTTCTCCTTCCACCAGAAACCAGACTTCCCGGCGACAGCGACAGCAGCGTACCCTGACTTCTCGGCCTCCTGCCTGGCCGCCACCCCGCACAGCCTGCCCCAGGAGGAGCGGGTCTTCACTGAGCAGCACCCCGCCTTCCCACAGCCCCCCGACTGGCACTTCCCTGTCTCGGAGGCCCGGCGCAGGCTTAACCCTGGCCCAACTGGGGGCTCCAGGGAGATGGGGGCCAGCAGCCCAGGCCTGGTGGATGCCACGGGAGGCCCAGGAGAGGACTATGAGGTCCTTGGGAGCACTACCAATGAGACGGACAAGAAGTCAACCAGGCGGAAAAAGGAGAGTTCAGGTAGGTGGCTGAACAGCAGCTGACCATTCTTTTACTGTGTGACCTTGGGAGGTTTCTTGCCTTTTCTGAGCCTAACTGCCCTGATTGTGAATTGCAAACGATACTATCTAACCTAGTCAAAGGCAGGAGTTCCCTTTGGGGTTTCTTCTGCTCAGACTTGTAGGATTCTTTGGTGATGGGAACTGTCTCTGTCCCTAGCACTCCTGGGCCCCAAGAAGGATATGCCATCAATAGAATGAAAGTGGAGCCACAAGATTTGGAGGACATTTGGGATGGAGCCTTGGTGTAGGCTGGCAAGGGCTAGAGAGGGGTTTTCCTGAACCCGGCGGCCTCTCTGGGTCATGGTTCTCCCTGCCATGCCCCTGCTGGCTCCAGATGGTCCCAGAGCCACAGGGTTTGCTCACCATGGGAATCAGCTGAGATGGAAGTTGGAGGAACCAAGGCTGGAACCCTGGGTGGTCAAGCAGAGCCAGGACCCTATGTCTCCAGGAGCCTGGAGGCAGAGAAGCAGGACTAGGGGCTGGGATAGGAGAGGCAAGGAATGAGGGGGAGATGGAGTGCTGAGGAGCAGACAGCCCACAGAGGATCACCCTGCCTAGCTGGGCCATGCCCTGGCCCAGGGGCAGCTCAGCATGCTAAGGTCTGGGTGACCCCCAGGGAAGGCCCTCCTGAAGGATCTCTGGCCTTGGGGAGAATCAGGGAGGCAGGCAGCCAAGGGCAAGCACTGGACCTCAGAATGCAGGTAAAGCACAGCTCTGTGCTGAAGTCCCAGAGGCCAGAGGATGGAACTGGCCCTCTTATTAAGATCCCAGCTCAGTTCCATCTCCTCCCTGGGGTAGGGACCCATTTTTTCCCCTCAGCTCCCCATGGGGCCCTCCTCGGCTTCTCTCACTTCCTGTTCACCTTTTGTCTGGTTCCCTGGCCCCACCTTGCCCAGGACAAGGCAGAGCCCATGTCTCCTGCCCCCACTTCCCACTCTGTCCTTCTGACAGCCACCCTTGGGGCAATGTCTGTCTATCTGAACCTCTAGAGGACCTTCTCACGGGCTAACCAGGGACAGGTAGAAAATGAGAGTGCCAACCAACCAACAACAACATTCTGTCCTTTGCTCTACAAAGCGTTTTCAATATAGCACAGGTTTCCTGAGCATCTTCTTTCTGCCAAGCCCTGGCCAAGGCCCTGGGGATGCAGAGATGAGTGAAGTGGTCTCACCCCTCCGTCCCCCCCATACACAAAAAGCTCAAACTGAGAGGGAGGAGAGGCCTATAGATGCAGATCTGGCAGCAATGTGCTGAGATCAGGGGGGTTCAAGGTGCAGCGGATGACACACATTAGCTCTTTTGAGTCCCACCTGTTTAAGAGGTAAGTCCAACAGTCTTGTATGTGTGGAAAAGGAGAGATGTAAAGTTTAAGGGGATCACTGCTAGAATGGAGTCTAAACAGAATGATCCACTCATCTCAATTTGCCCAGGACTTTTCTGATTTTAGCATTGAAAGTCCAGTGTTCAAGAAACCCCTCAACCCTGGGCAAACTGGGACAGGTGGTCACCCTAGAAGTAAGCTTAAACTGAATTTCAGACCCCAGATCCCACACCCTTCCGTGGGTTTCAAGCATAATCCTCATTGTGAAATCTGAGGATTTTGAAACATGCTTGAAGAAGCCCCTCAACGTGCTCACGATGGATAATGACCTTCTTGGCTGCTCAACAGAAGGGCCGTTTAAACTTCCAACCAGTTAAATCCTGAACTATTCCTAGCCCTGGTTGGAGATTTGCCGAGAACGGGGCACTTTGTGCTTCTCCTCTCCAAGGAGCTCTCAACGACTTGGCTCTGAGCCTGGTTGAAGAGCTCTCCCCTCCACGGCGCCGGCCACCATCTCTGCCCACACCTCCCTCGGCTGCATCCAGCCACTTTCCAGGGAACTGGGAGCCAAGACATTGGGGAGGCATGGGCAGAGCCATGGGCTGGGCTTAGGAAAAATCATTCCGTGTTTCAGCAGGACCCAAATGCGTGTCTTTCCTTTTGGCCAGGGGCCCATGGCACTGCATTAGGGAGTAAGCTCGAGTGCCAAGCAGCTGACCGCCCCAAGAGGACATGGACACCCTCTACTGAATTTCCTGCACTCTTCATAGGGTCAGCCCTGGGTCAGGGGAGGTTCCCATCCAGGAGGGGCCCTGGGCTCTCCCTCGAGGTCCCCTTAGGGGCAGCAGCAATGGCAGCAGTCACATGAGATCTACAGAGCACAGCAAGCTGCCTTTCATTCATTCTCTGGGGTTCCAGACCCACTCTCTGTCTATTCAGCATGGAAATCCTTATCACCCAGTTAGTTGCTTTGAGTTTTCCTTTGGAATTTAACTGGAAGGAAAGGAGGCAAGAAAGATCAGCTTTGTAAGAGCCTAAAGAAAGGGCAAAGCGGTGGGCAAGGCCCACAACCCACTCCAGGAATCTGCTCACAAGAGGCAAACCCACAAAGGACCCCCTCCACCCCACTAATCCTGAATCACTGGTTGGGTTCTTTCTTATTTAAAAGTTTGATATTTTATTCGGCATGGATTTTTTTTTTTTTTTGCACTAATTTTTATTTTAAAAAACATTGCATTGAAATATTATTTCTCCTGATTTACTGAGGTTTTAGGCGCCCCTTGCATTTTGCGCTCAATGTGAGTGCTTTTCACGCCTCACCCTGGCCCCTGCTAAGCCATCTGTGGAAGGTTAACCACCCTTGATCATAAATGTGTTTTCAGTAGCGCTTCACAGTCCTGTCTGCAGCATCAGCACCGGAACTTTTGACTGCATGACTTAGGGGAAATTCTTAACTTCTTGGAGCCTCAGTTTCCCCAGCTGTAAAATGAAACTATAACAATAGCACCTGCCACATAGAGTGGTTGTGAAGATTAAATAAAATGATCCATTAGATTAACATTGTGCCTGGTCCATGAGTTCAATACATAGCAGCTATGAATGGTATTAGGCCCATATTTCCAGAATCAGCTTTCTGTCAAATCTCTCTATTACTCATGGGGCCAATGGAATATGAATATTTTAAATGTACTGTCTCAGAAATTCCTGAGTCTGAGGTATGAGATGTGGAAACCTCTTACAATCATTGTTGGTCCTAAGAATCCAGTTGTCATCAATTAGGAGCTTGGAGCTCAGAGATGTGCAAGGGAGTTGAGGGACTGAACAGGGTGGGGGGTGAGTGGGCTGTGCCTGGTGAATGCATCCCGCACTTGTTGAAAAACCTCCCATAACAGAAAGTTACCGAAATTCTGTTTCAAAAGGAACGTTCTCTGCTCTCCCCCTCCTCCCTCTGCCAGCTGCAACTACTCCCACTGGAAGTGGGGCTGATTTACTCAAGTAAATGATCACAAAAGTGGGGGTCCCTGGACCCCACCCTGAGACCCTCAGTTGGTTCACAGCACAAAACTGATTTAAGAGACCAGTGTGATGTTATCTCACCCCAACTACTCCCAGCCCTGGGCCAGTGGGTGTTAAAGACCCCTGCTAGCAGGGACAGCTGTGAGGGCACTGTTGTTTGCCCCCAATCTGTCATTGCTACCGTGGTTGTCTTTAATTTATGGGGATGAGGGATTTCTCGGTGATTTCCTGACGGGGTTCAAGGGAAGGTCGCGCGTGATGGGCCTGGCTGCAGGTGAATCTGATGGGCCACCGGGGAGAGCCCTGTGCCTGGGCTCAGCTCTGCTGGCCGGGCTCTCACGAACGCACTCGGCCTCATCAGACTCGCTTTGTCCCATCCTCCATCTGCCCCAACACGTGCGCCTCCCCGGGGCTCGACCTTCCCCATTTCTCCCCTGCAAGACCCGATGGCTGCCTGCCCCTACCCAACCGCATGAACTCTCACTTCGCCTGAGGTTTAAAGCCCTCCGCAAATTGGCCCCCTTTGCCCTTTCTCCCATCTGCTCGCCCTCCCCAGGTCACCTCCGCCTCCACTCGCCTTGCCACAAACCGCACCAGTTTGCTTGCCTTGCAAACATTCTGCTTTTTCTCCTCCCACCCAGTTTGCTGAACACCTTTCCCTTCCCCCACTCTCCTGCCCGTCACCAATTGCTGCTCTGCTTATTTTAACGTCCAGCCTGAAAGCCATCCCCTTCAAGAATTCTTTCCTTTTTTAAATTGATGACCCCACTTGTGCATAGCATCATTTCAGTGAAAGCTATAGCTAAGAAGTTTCAGACTGTAGTATCCACTACAATTTTGACCACGGAGGAGCTCTCCTGAGATTATCATGAGATAACTTGTATTTGAAATCTCCTTTCCTTTTTTCTTATGGTCAAAAACACATAACACAAAACTTACCATCATAACCATTTTGAAGTGTATACACATTTTAACTATATGCACAGTGTTGTGCAACAAATGTCTAGAACTTTTTCATCTTAAAAAATTGAAACTCTAAATCCATTGAATGACAACTTCCTTTTCCCTTGCCCCAGGCCTGGCGATCAGCATTCTACTTTCTAATAGTTTGACTACTTTAGATACCTCATCTAAGTGGAGTATTTGTCTTTGGTGACTGGCTTATTTTATTTAGCACACCGTCCTTGGGGTTCATTCATGTTGTAGCATTATAACAGAATATCTTTATTCTTTAAGGCTCAGTAATACTTCAGTGTATGTATGTGCCACCCTTTTTTTACCCGTCTATTTACCTATTGATGGGCAGACACTTGAGTCACTTCCACCTCTTGGGGATTATGAATAATTCTGCAATGAACATGGTATACAGATATTTCTTTAAGATCCTACCTTTAGGATATATTTTGGATATTTACCCAGAAGTGGGATTGCTGGATCATATGGTTTTATNGCACATTTTAACTATATGCACAGTGTTGTGCAACAGATGTCTAGAACTTTTTCATCTTATAAAATTGAAACTCTATATCCATTGAATGACAACTTCCTTTTCCCTTGCCCCAGGCCTGGCAACCAGCATCCTACTTTCTAAGAGTTTGACTATTTTAGATACCTCATCTAAG